GTTTTTTCAGAGAGAAAACATCGCATTCGATACTGAAATTGAAACTGCACTCGAATGCGATGTTTTCTCTCTGAAAAAACCACGCCTTTATTACGTTGAATTTCATTGTTAAAATTGGTAAGGGAGTGCTTTAGTCTCCTGACAACAGAATTGCGATCTCAAAATAGGAGAAAAATGACAAGTAGCTGAAAAAATGGAACCAATTGATGCGATATATCGCATGCCGTTCTGACACAAAATATGGCGTCCATCGAATCACCTTAACCTTAAACCCAAAGCCGCAAACAGCTGACGCTTGCCGATGCTGCGCCAAGAAAATGAACCAATCACAAAATAGCACAGTGATACGTCACTAAAATGATGAGATCACGTGACTGTTCGTAATGTTTTCAAGTTCGATCTGAAAGTACTACCTCGGATATAAGCATTTAAGCATAACGAGGCCCTAAAATAATTTAACCGGGTAAAATGTCCGTGCGCGGTACTTATAATAAAAGCAAAACATTTCACGAAAATTCTTACAAATACCAGCAAAGAACAAATTTCAAATTCTACCGCGTGTACCAGAATGGCGTCATTACCCACAATGTTATATCCGGAGACTCGAACGGCTGGAAAGGAGGCATCTGGTACCCAGAAGCGCCCAAAACCTGTCGAAGTTGTGCATCCGAGTGGTTCTGGCGTGTGTCACACTACGAGTCGAAAATATTGGATTAACTTTAGCAGCTTAACCCCTTTTTTCTTAAAATGTGTGTAATTTGAACCCGCAATATCTTTTCGGAGGACCCGTCTGTTTTGTTGTACACCAGTAAAATATCAAACAAAAAATTTTTCATGCACTTAGTTCCCTCAAAATGTATACACAATTTTTTTTTGACGCAGTTAAGTCGATCAGAAAAACGTTATTTACGAATCACAGTGTTTTTTAAAGGCTTTTTGGAGACATCTCGTGCAAAAAAAAGAAAGAAAGAAAAAGAAAAAAGGATAGAAAAAAAGATGATCAATAGTATTACATGTAATATGAGTTGAAATGACTCCAATCCAAAGCAACTGTTAGCTATAGGACAACAGAAAATAGTTTTCTAATTTGAATTCTGATAAGGGAGGGAAAGGTCAATAATAATGTGAAGCTATGTATTCACTGTTTATTTTATAACTCTACGATGGTGAGATTTTTGTTTCCAGTTTAAATTCAGGTTTACCTACTTGATTTGACATCACATGAGCACTCAACGTTGAAGTTTTCGGGGCACAGAAACACTGTCTACGGTTTTTTGCGACTTTTTAGACACTTTTCTCATTGAACCACGAGAATCAGCACAGTGTAATGCATGTAAGAAAAATCAAATTAGTGATAAAAATTATGAGTCAGGGCATCATCATAAAATTTGCTCCAAATATTTGTAATTTTATTTGTCTCACGAAACAACATAAACAGCTACTGATAGGGGTTTCATCTCAATGATAACAAAAAATTGGAGCTTGTACATTCAGGAGATGAATATTCTTTTGGTTTCAAAATATTGAAACCACATCAGTATTATGTAATAATCTATTTTGTCAAGTTATATCTAGCCTTAATTACGATTAAACTGTCATCAAATGCATTTAATTTCTAGGTCTTTATTTTGTGACGGCGCGGCGCTGCATGAAAAGATAAGATCAAATTTGAGAAGATTTATATTGGCATAGCCAATGAAATTAGTCTGTCATCTTAAGGAAGCTTTGTTACACTAAGTCTAACATATTCAATATATTGATGAAAAATTTGGAATGATAAAGCTTAAATTATACGATTTCTTGTAATGAACATTGCGAAATCAATCTCTTTCTGCAATAAAATAGCATTCGGTAAAATCTAATCCATGCAAATTAGGATTCCTCTCCCTTTCGTCGTATTCGAGGAAGCTCCATATAACGGACTCAGCTGTGATGTTTATTCGGAAATTCTAAATTAAATTAATTACACATCCTTTATTTTTTTCATGCAAGTTAAAATCCTCCAAAAGTTATTTTTAGAATCCTTACCAACCCCAAAGGCGGTTCTAGACCTTTGTTACCAATTAAGGCAAAAATCAAATATAATTAAATAAATATTCGCCTTCTTGTGAGTATACTATGCCACGTATTTTTAAAAGATTAGGTTGCACAAGAAATAGTGTTAAAGAGCCTCTCTCGTGCGTTGCTATGGTTGAAGCCGGTCTAAAGTCTGGGCCGACCGTTCATTTTAAATGCAATTTATTTGCTAATGGGATTGCGACCCATTGATGCAATCAGTGTTCCACGAATGTGCGTGTTGCACATTCAAAAATTGAAGGCACTTCTGCTTTCCTCAATTCTTTGTGAATGCACGGGCGTCGTTAGTTATAACCTTGCTAGAACATCAGAGTTAAAATCAACGGTGTAAGTCGGGAATCACATAACTCGGTTTGCGACGTCGCGTCGCAGACTTCCTGTCATACTTTATTTTTTAAACGGAAAACTACTCAACGGCAATTCTTTAAAACTGCCGTGATTGTTCTCTGTGCGATGAAAATTCTGTGAAAACTTCAAGGAATAATGTGTTCAATCAATGTGTCAATGTGTCAATGTGTTTAATCAATTTGTTCTCCTTTAAAAAAATAACACAGAGGCAGAGATTTTCAGACATCGCAAACGAGTTATGTGATTGCCGACTTACACTGTCGATATGTACGTAACAATGTAACATACATGCTAAAAGCAGGTGTTAAAGGCTCAGATATTGAAAGCACCAAATAAATGTATTAACCAACCAACCAACCAACCAACCAACCAACCAACCAACCAACCAACCAACCAACCAAACAAATAAACGTATCTACCAACCAACCAACCATACATATCTACCAAGCAACCATACATACATACATAAGAGTCGCTTTCATAGCGCTTTCTGGCGCTCTGCGACGGACGCTTAACCGCCACATAAATCGGTCCTCCCACAATCGGTCAGGGTGTTGGCACTCTCTCATTGCATTTAAAACCCCCTGTCGCGTGTCGCCACCCTCACTGGGCGTCCCCTTCGTCTCCTGGCAAAGGCACAAAACTGTAAAAGACAATTTATTCAAATGCACTGCTACTTGAAAGGAATATAGAACGATTTTTTATCGGATGGATATCCATAATATTAATTTTTCATTTGATTTTGGATTATTTTTTGGGAAGTGTAAATTACATTTTTATCCATAAAAATTCTTATGTCGATTTTTCTAATCGATCTTTATTTTCCAGTCCTAATGATCCACGCCGCTAGCATTTCTCAACCAAGAAATTTGTGGAGAAATACAATCTTGGTAAAACGATTGCCGTAAATTTTTTTTGAGGCTGAGTGGAAGCCGTATTACGACGAGCACCCAATGGCCGGTATTGATGAGGATTTTGTCTAAGATCATAGTAATGAGGGACTTAAAGGAGAGGAAAAGAAATAAAAACAAACCGTAAATGAATATTTTTATTTTATTTTTTTATTTAGGGATTATATAAGTATATACACTTGTTTGTGCCAGTGGCGTGGCGTGCTTTGCGATATATCGATTGTTATGCCATTTGAACCTATGGAAAAGGATCGATAAACAGGGTGTTCGCAGCGAACACCTTAACAATCGATCCTTCACCATAGATTTAAATGGCTAATCAATCGATATATCGCAAAGCACGCCACGCCACTGGTTTGTGCAGACCACAAAAAGGTCTTTTTGCAATTCATTTAAACAGCGTAAAAAATTTAAACGGTTTTACAGACACTTTTTAGAGATGTAGAGATTACATAGAGTTATAGAGTTACATAAATATGAATAAAAGAAGAATCAGAGTAAGACAAGACATAAATAAAAGAAGTACAAGAAAATAGGAATCCGAAGATAAAAAAAGATAAAAGATAAAAGCTAAAGGTATAACCAAAAGTGTCAAAATGCCGATCTATATGTGTACTAACTATGTGCAATAGGTACCTCTTACCAGACCTATTTTATTTTAAGATAAGGACACCTTCGTGCCGATATAGGCAGAGGAAGGTAGAGCCTTAAATCAACATTACTACATTAGACGTTTTTAAAGTTAGGTGTGTGAAGCTTGTGTAGCTTCCTTTCCACATTACCGCGCTCCCCGGCGCTCTGCGACACCTGATCGCCATCCTTGCCTATCGATCCAGAGGTCATCTGGTAAATGGCATCTTGTGATTTCATCTTGAATGCCACCAATCCACGATTTTGCTGGCCCTTGTAACATTTGCTTCTTGGGTAATTTACCGTGACCAGCCGGCTTCTTGGGCCAAGAATCCAGAGTTTTACTTGAACCATTCTTCAGGGTTTCTTCAAGCAGAGCTTCTTCATGCCTTCTTGAGGCGTACTGGAGGCATTCTAGGGTCAACAATAGATTTCAACAATTGAGCGAGGAGGGTATCTGCTCAGAATCAGGTAGAAAATGCTCGTGCCCCTTAAATTGCATCGGGTGAGATTGAAGGAAATTCAACCCTCCTGATTTTAGTCTATCACGTTTACGTGCAGTCGCTTCCATTATCCTAAAAGAAATGGTGCCCCAACAAAGTATGGTATAG